ATTTCTTTACACAGTAGATTAGTCTAGAGTTCTAGTAATAGGATGACCCTCACTGGAACCCCCTACTACTCCTTGAATGATGCGGAGCCCGACTTCCAACGAGTAATAGGATAACTATCACCATGTTCCATTGGGGTAACCTACTACTTATTGAAAGTAGAATGACCAAATTTATGCTGGTAGATAGAAAACTAGTAGTAGGATTACTCACACTAGTACCCTATTACTTTTCAAACACTAATTAGTTTGGTCTCAAGTAAGTAATAGGGTCACCCTCGCTAGAGCCCCCTATTACTTTTTGAATAATGAGTAGTTTAACCTTCAAACAATTAATAGGATGACCCTCAATGGAGCCCCCTACTACTCCTTGTCGCCTAACAAGTAATAGGACGACCCTCTCACAGAGAATTGAAAAACGAATTTCATTTCGACAATCTCTTATCCTCGTATAATCAATCCAGAGTTGTGTGTCCACAAATCGATTTAACACGGGTTCCACGCTGAAAGATTCAACGCGCATTGAATGCGCGTTGAATCCCCATTGAAAACCTGGGGCTGTAGATTTTTTTCAGGCCAACAACCCTATATTTTTTGTTTGATTTTTTGAGTTTTTACTGTATTTAAAAAAAAATCAAAAACATAAACACATTTAACACAATGAAAAAAAAAAAAAAACCACAAGATGAAATAAGTGGTTTTTGTTTTTTTTAATTTTTTGTTTCACAGAAATCTTTTTAGGGCTAAAAAAAAACAGAAGAAACATATAAAAAATATAGGGTTGTAGATCTTTCAAAGATGTACAACGATTTTTTTTATTTTTTTTTTAACTTAATGTATTTAAAAAAAATCAAAAATATAAAATAATTCAAAAAAAGGAAAAAAAAACACGCCCACACACACACACAACACACACAACACACACAAACATACATAAACACACACATGCACACACATACACACACGCCAACAATCACATGCAGACACACACACTCTTACAAACACAAACTTTCGGGTAGGTTTGGGGACGGCGGGATAAGGCGGGCGGCAGGATGGGGTGGATGAGGGAAGGGGGGGTGGGGCTCGTAGCGGTTCAGAGGGCTTCCGGGCAGCTTTGGGGACTCATGGGGGGGTGCCAAATTTTATGTTTTTTTTATGGTTTTAGTGTTCGGGCGCGTAGGGCCACATGTCCAAGACCCAATGCGCCAATTCCATCTTTCGGAATTCAACGGGACGCCCCCGTTTTTCCGTTAAACGGGATTCAGCGGGGATCCCGGGGCCAATTTCGTTATTTTGATTTTTCGAGTCCCGGGTTCAACGACATTTAACGGCGTCCGTTCCCCATTGATCGGACACACAAATCCAGAGTACCTGTTCCAAGAATCACAACCGTGTTACAACAACCCCGAACAACAAATAACAAGTGTTCAACGAAGCATGCAGGAGTCTTCTTCTCACTCCTCGACACCTCATACCCCCGGCTATGGCTGTCGTAGCAGCAGTAACCCCACAATTGTCACAACGCGCCAATCTGAACTAGCAACCCCAATGATAGCAGCGCCAGCTCACCGCCCACACGGAAGTGCAGCGCTGGAAGTCCTCATGAAGAAGGAGACAACTGATCCAACACTTCGAAGAAGATGAAGTTCCTCATGAGGAGCAACAACAGATGTGGCTGCCAAGTGGAAAATGGCCACGCCCAAACCCAACAACACCTGCGGAAGCTCTCACGCAGAGCTGCGAAATAGCAGAAGTGCGATCTTCAACTTCGTTTCCCAACCCCCAACTATGGCTGGGCTTCGAGGAAGAAGATGACCTCGCCCAAAACCGAGCAGCAGCGCTCCAACAACGGACGGGCATAGTTTCCCTAACCAACAAAAATGTGAAAAGACCCCCTACCAAATTTTCTGCCCGCTACTTCTACCCTCTGCCTACCTACGACGAACAAAGGCAACAACCCAAGACTCATTGTATCTAGATGGAAACAGGGGGGAAAGGGGACCTTGACCTATGACAAGGCGAAAGGAAAAGGTGCAATGGCTTGAGACTACCAAACAAAGACTACTAGTGACCGACTCAAAAGGATGAAGTCCCATCGGGCGCAGCACTTACAAACAGAACACACAACTTCCAGGTCACGGGATCAAGTCCTGCAAATCTCAAAACAAAGAAACAGCAAGTAAACAAACTACACAGCCGAACACTTAGTGCACAACCTGGCTGGAAAACTGCGATTTATTGCATCCCTCTCTTCTCCCTTCTCAACCCCTACCAGCGTTCTCTCTCCTTGTCCAAAAGACTCCCATCTTCCCTCCTTCCACTTTACCCTTCCTTCCCCACTCTTCCCCAATCTCACACTCTCCCTCTGCCTGCATTCCCCTCAGTGCATCTCCTCCTCTCCCATTCCCCCTCCGTGACTTCTCCTTCTCCCCCCTCTACTACCCTCTTCACCCGAAAATAACGCCCGGACGTTATATTCAGCTTACTCTAAAATGATGAGATTTTCGTTTTCACTTACTTTTTTTCAACACCCCTTCAAATAAAACGTCCAGGCGTTATATTTGAATAGAACGCCCGGGCGTTATGTTTGAATGTTCCGTGGGCAGAGTGCCTTGAAGAGGTAGTATACATGGGTTTTAAAGGGCAGGGAAGGGGGTATACATGGGTTTTGAAGAGGGTTGAATGGGGTTTGACTTCCAAGGGGTATATTTTGGCTTTAGTTTTCGTTTATATTTTTTATTTCCGAGTTTATAAGGAATTTTGAAGTGACCCTCAGCCAAATGTCGGTCGCATTCCAATCCTGGACAACATTTTTTTTTTGACATCATTTTTTGATTTTTTTTCTTTCTTCCAGAATTTTGGGCCCTCACCGAAGTTGTCACAAATTTACTGAATATAACACCCGCACGTTATAAACAAATATGCAAGGTGCCAGCAAAGACGAGAGAATAAGACTATGAGAATATCAAAATACCACCTGTGCAACTCAAGGATCCAGTGCCATGGCTCCACTCATTTATATAGAACATCATGGATTGTCAGGAAAGAACCAGCAACGATTCAGACCCTCCAAGGAAAGAACCAGTAAACAGTCATCCTGTCCATTACCATATGATTACAAGACTTCCTTCCACGCCCCTGTCAAAACTGTTATGAGCAGTATGCGTGTTGTCACGCGGGGATCCCTGGGGCCCAAGCCGGGGTGGGGGTTTCACCCCCGCACCCCGGGCGCGGGGATCCCCGACCCGGGCCCCTCCAAAACACCCCCGCAAGTGCCCCACCCCCGCACC